TTGCTTTGTAAATGTAGCAGTTAGATTTGTAGGATAATTTGTTGCAATCCATGCCTTATCTTTTTTATTCTCTACTTTTTTTTAAGAAATGGGAGGAGGGGGGGGGGGCAATTTTACAAGATGTTGGGATGCATGAAATTTTCAGATGCTCTAGCCCACTCTTGTACAGAAAGCTTGTTAATTTTTGTGTTGAGCAACAAGTGTGGAATCCAATTATATTTATAATGACTCCTGACTAAAATCCTGTTTTTTTCCCTTCATTATCTTTGTAAATAAAATACTGGTATAGCGCAATCAGACAAACACACGAGTCTGTTATAGCGGAATATAGCTGCTGCTATGCACAGCGCATTTACAGGCCATTTTATTCATGTAAAACCTCGCCAGTTGAGAAACTTGTTGGTTATCTTGCGAAATAAAGAATGGGAGAGCCCACATGTGCCACAATAAAGGCCAGATCGAATGAGTGGAAAGAGTGGCATGCCCAGACAAACAGAACACATCGTGTGATAAGCCAGCCTTGTCTAGATTATATAGGCCTACCATGCCTCTAACTTCTCCGATGCGGGGACGGAGAGATCACAATGCTGTACTGTGATGGACGGAGCGAATGTGTGCCGTGGGCGGGGTGTGTATGTTCCCTTTGTGCACAAGCAGACGGAACGCACCACAGGGTGTGGTGGGGTGGGGGACAACACCGCGGGCGAGTTAACCGAGAGAACTTTCTTTCTGATGGTCAACATCGCTAGCGCTAGAGAAAGAACCCTGATTCGACTTTTGATCAAGTAAGACTTAAAGGTCATTTTGAACCAAATCATCATCATCAGGGGAGATTACAAAAAGAAATAAACCGAAAACCAGACTCATAGATTAGCTTACTTTACTATTTCCTTTGAATTTATTACTGGATCCCTTAAAACGAGAATCCTGCTATAACAGACATTTTGCACCGGTCCCCTCTCTCTCTCGTTATAACAGGATTCCACTGTATTAGTTTCTGGTAGTAAGTACATTGCTTATATTCATGCCAATGTTTCAACAATATTTCCATGGTTGACCTTTTGTTTCTCAAATTATAGTTAAATCTTGAAACAAATTACAATATCTATGTCTTATGAAAGAAACTATGCCAAATGGATACAGTAGTTACTTTCTGGTTTTGAATTGAATGCTTTGTTATCTACTTTATATTTATTATTATTTTCATACCTTTATTTTGAGCTGTTTTCTTTTTTAAAATTTCGCAGGGTTTATTCAAGACTGCTGGTTGTGTCCTGAAATCTGGAGGAGTTTTATTCATGTATGGGGTGAGCAAGCTGTTTTTCTGGACATTTTGTTTGTGTTGGATTTTTATTCAATTTCATTTCATAACCTGAGTTAACATTTTAGGGGAGTTAAGCTGAGGGAGGGTGGAAGAGGAAGAGGGAGAATGTTTCGATACTTTAATCTCCAGACTCATTCGACTGAGTTGCCTTGTGGAAGATAGTTTTGACTGTTTAATTGAACATCTCAAGCATTGAGTCATTCAGGTTGTGTGCAGGTCCTGTCAAAACTGTTGCACAAGTCAGCATGTGGTCAGAGATCAACACACACTAGGAGAGCTGTTGCAGTTAATAACATTGGAATCTGTTCAAATGGCCACCTGTACAAGACAATCAATCACCTGTACAAACAGCTACTTCCCATTTTCTCCCTTTCATATTAAAGAAAAATAGAATGATATTGTTTAAGACATCTACCTGTCTGAGATGTCCATTTTTCCTCCTCAACAATGGGTGGCCGTCTTAGATAATTTTGATGGTATAAATATTCTTGCAATGACATCGAGCTGATGAATTTCTCCTGTTATTTGTTTAAGTCAAAGATTTTGCTACTCTTTTATTGATCACATGTAAGTATTTCCTGTTGTTTATTATCTGAAAATTATGTTGTGGTTGTTCCCTGTTTCAAGAAAGAAAGATAATTTTCAAGGTGATTAAACCAGAGAAATGGCACACGATTCAAAGCATGGTTCATCATTAACACCTACTGCTTTGCGAGTATAGTCTTCTGTTGTCCTCTAGGAGCTAATGACGAACCATGCTTTGAAACTAAACAAAAGCCCATCAATATTTCCCCTAACATATTTACGTTTTCGTTAACCCAGTGATTTGTTCCGTTTAGATATTTTGCTTCCGATTTCTGGCAATTAAATAATATAATGTGGAAAACGATAAAATTAGTTTAGAAAAGGCATTTCACCCAATCTGAGGTGCCCGACGAAATTTATATGGACCCAGACAATGTTAAATCGGACAGTTTTGTTGATTATTTGGATGGTGAGTCTTCAAATTGAGAAAAAAGTGATGAAAGATAGAACCAGAACTAGTTATCATTGATTGCGGAGCAAGTTACTTTAAGTAGATCTAAATCTAGTGTATTATACCTATTAGTATTAGGAACTAATTCTCGGCAAAAGCTTACTATTACATAATTGATTACACCTAAATGACTCAAACCAAAATATTTTTTCAATAAAAATGTGTTTAAGCATAGTGAAACATTTTTAACAGTTTGGTGAAATTTCATGTCTATCACTTTACTTTGGGGTGAGTTATTTATATTACAGTTACACATATCTCACATAGTCAGAAAGCAGGTGGCAGCTCCGGTCCTGGGGAAGTGAAAGTCAAGTGTGAGGCCGGTTCCAAAGGTGTTAAAGAAAAATGAATAATTTAATGACTCCATGTATAACTGAAGACTTTAGCAAAGTTTTATTTCTATGTTAGGCCTACTGAACTGCTGAGAGAGCACACATTTTGGGGCCTGAATTATTATTTTTGAAATAATATAATCGGCTTTTGAAGGGCAGTTTTGTTTTTCTTCTGTCAGGTGCTGCTCTTTATATTCTTTTTTCTCCATGTTTCTGACTGGAATTATATTGATCTACAATTGTGATTATTTCATTTTCAGCCGTTCAAAATTCATGGCAGCCTAACTCCAGACAGCAATGTCCAGTTTGATGCCAGGTTGCGCTCTCAGTAAGTGAAGAGTTATTTTATTTCAATTGTAGGTTTCATAGATTTGAAAAAAAAAAGTTCTTGGGTACAATGTTACTTTTGTCAGATAGAGGGAGAGAGAAATTTATTGGACATATTGTATGGGGTTGTAGGTATAAATGTCTTTGTCTCAGTGAAAACATAGGTTAATAGTTTAAGAATTTTGTAAAGCTCTCCATCATTGTACCATAAGTCGATGTCCATGTAAGTTAATCTTATGTTCGCTGTCCATCTGTTTGGCTCTGTCTCACTTTGTTCTGTCTCTGCCCCATGCCCTTCTGTCTCATTCTTTGTCTGCTGCTGGTTTTCTATCGCGGAGAGGTGGCAGTTACTCTAATGTGTTTTCTTCATTTCTCTGTTTATGCTGGCAGACTTGTTTATGGATTCCTTTTCTTCTGTCCCTTAGCCTACTTGTGCAAGTCGATGGCTTTTCATTTCTTTATACTGATTCATTTCTCTAATCTTTTTCATCACTTTTTTTTCTGATTTGTCTATCCATTCATCTGTTCTCTTTTCATTGCTTTTCGTTCTTTCTTTCTTGATGGGGTGGGGGGTTGGAGGGTGCCACTGGTAGGTCCTACTTCTTTACTTTCCCTCTTTCTGTCTTGCTTTTTCTGAGCTCTAAATGACCTTTATAGTGGGAGTCATATTCAATAAGATTGCCGGGACCGGTTTGTTGTCCTCGTTGGATCTGACCTCTCGTTGAACCTGACTAAGGCTTAAGAAAAGAAAGAAAAAAGGGGGAGACAAAAAGACAGTAAAAAAAGAGGAGAGCGTGCAGTGTGTGATTTTTCGGTAATTCTTCTTTGCTTTCCTATAACAGGAACTTGCGTACAGTGGGATTTTTCTTCTGAAACTAAAAGTCCCGCTACGCTATAGCCATGTTCTGCGGTACTGCCCTACTATCCCACAAAAGGATGAGGCATAGAAAGAGCAACTGAAATCAGAGGAAGATGCTTTCTTCCAGTAGGCTAGGCCTAATTACAGGCTCAGTTTTACACAGCCCGTGTCGCGTTCCCACCCATCCCTTCCCATCCCTACTGTAGGCCAACCCTCGCCCATCCTCTTGGCTTTGGGACCCATATCATTGTTAGGAGGCACACTAGATCTAGCAATACAATGCATAAGGAATGGAGGATGGGCCTTCTGCTTTGCGTGAGATGAAGAGAAAGGAGAAAAATTCTTCGCTTTCGGGGCCATTAATTGCTTTTATTTGGTTATCGCGACCTCGTTGAAAGCGACTTCAGTCTGTTTGCAACCTCGTTGGAGTTAACGTACATTTACAAAGAGATATATAGAGGAAAAAAATTGGGATTTAGGGATTGCCTCGTAGGACGGTTGGAGCCGACTTCTAGTTGAATGTGACCTCGTTGAATTCAGCACTATATTAATATTATGTTGATGTGCTTCGCTTTATTTTATTTAAACAAACAAAAAATCTTTTTTGACAAATTACTGAACTTACAGCGTGGGTGGTTGAAGGGTGCTCTGGTGTGGTTTGATCCTTTTTCCTATCTAACATCTATCATCCTTATCTCCCTTCCTTCTTTTTTGTGTTTGTTACTCTTTTGTAACACCTATAGAGAGCTGTAAATCTTCCGGCTTTTTACGTTTTTTCCTACCGACTTTCCATTTTTTAAAAATTACTTAGTAGAAGTTTTACGGCACTCGCAACTGCATAAGGTCATATGAACGCTAAGGGATGGATGTCAACAGAGAAGTTTTTACAGGGAATCAGGCTTACTCTGCTCACATCTCTAGCTTCAACAGCACAAAGTCTGTTTTGACTTTTAAGACACTCCGGAAATAGTGGGTCACAAGAATGTGACAAACATACAAAAGAAGTAGAGGGAAAATGACAATAGTAAGGATTAGGAAAGAAAAAGCAGCTGTTCCCTGTTGTAGATCAGGCACAGTTATGAGCGTGACATTGATGAATCAGCCCATTTACAATTCTACTGTGCATTAACGAGAAATGTCCCCCCTTTGGGAATGGCCTAAAGACACTTCAGTCAGTGGCACCGCCCCGGGGGTCGACTTTCCTTTTGGGCCCCCGCTTTTAACAAAAGTCTACTATAAACAATCCGTATTATATACTAAATAGAGATTATTTGTTGTAATAGAGGGAAAGAAACAAATATAGTTTAGTCTCACTGTATTCTTATTTCAGTCAGTGCGCGCACACCATATATTTTCCGGCTTTTTTTTTCAAAACCTGTTTACATCCCTGAGCTATAATCTTCGGCACTTACATGACGTTATTATATTGCAAGTGCCGTAAAACTCTTAGTAAATATTTTGTAAAAAACTTGAGCACTAATAACGTCTGTAAATTGGCTGCTTCTTTTCCAGGGATTCCAGATGGGGCATTAGAGACATTGATGATCTGGAGAATCTTGCAAAAGAGAATGGTTTGAAGTTTGAGAAAATGGTAAGCTTAAAAGGCTAGTCAATTATGATTTGTATCATATCTGTCACTTGCTTTCAGTTTTTAATGTATTGAAGTAACTTTATTAACCCTATCCGTACGCCTTGGGGTCATTTTGTACCCCTGGGGTTGTATTCTTCTCATTTTAGAATACTTCTAGTGCGAAGATCTCTTTGGAACTTTCAGTATTTCTCAAAAAATCATTTTGGCAGACTGCTATGCAAAGCGTACAGATCAGATTAACGAGTAAATTTCCTCTTTGGAAAGTGGTGGCACTGAGTTCCCCACATTGTATGGATACGATAGTAAAACACGACGTACGGATTGGGTTAATACTCTGTTTTCAAGGTGGTTTGTAATTTTAATTGACATTACATAATAAAGTCTGTAAGCTTGCACTCTGCCTTTTAAAGTTTGATGTACAAAAGGCCAAAACCCACAGTGCTAAATTTGAGAAGTTAATCTCCATGATAGTTGCATTGTAATACTATTATTATCAATATGCCAACATACATCTTCTGAAAGAGCTGTGTGATGTTGTGACTTAAAAATAAGCCTTCCTTGCGCTGAAAGTGGATTCATTTGGCAGAGTTGTGGAACTTCGTTTTTTTTCCCAAGAAAATGCCTACAAGTTTGCTCATTCTGTCTTGTTTGGATTTGTAATGCACTGCTTTTCACTCTAAATGTAGCTCATTATGATTTCAGTGCGGTACTTTTTGAGCAGGCTGTAGCCCATTTTACATTCTTGTTCCTTTAGAAAATGTAGTTCTCTACTTTTGCAGTTTTCTTTATCTCGAACACTCTTCCCTCCTCCGCACATAATGGAAAGACAAAGAAGGCACAAAAACACACAGCACATGCATGTATGTACACTTCTGTACACATGCACACAAACACAAGGTTTTGTCTGTAGATGCAAATGAATACAGTGCAGACAATGGACCTCCTTATCCGAAATTCCCTTGCACCCAAATCCACATTTTTTAACTCAATGGTCATGCACTTGACTGCCTGGTTCTTCATAGGCCGTAGGTTGAGGCTAGGCTTGAGTGTTTTAGTATTTGTATTTGTGAGTATGAGAAAGAGCAAAAATTCATGGCTTGGGGAGTGGACAGTATGGAGCAGCGTTTGGCAACCTTAAGTCTCCCTCCTTACCCTCTCACCAGAATATTTTCTCAAAAAGTGATGAAACCCTGCAGCTTTTTTATAACTTGAGGTACTCAATAGTTTTTTGCCTCGTTAATGTTACTCATAATGCTACTTAGAAATGAAACACATCACTGGCTGGTTTACTGCAGTCATTGATGAGCTTTGCTTAGGATGTCCGCTTCTTGATAGAACACATTGGTGTGTCACATCTAGCTACATCTAAAGGTACTTTAAAGGTACTTTGTACAGTTCTACACCCTGTAATGAGTGTTGCTGCTAATCCACTGCTGGTTGTTGCAATTGCAATTCTTTCTTCAGATCGAATTGTTGCCAGTATAGTTTCTAGTTCTAGGAATGTTTTCCCGCTCCGCCCTGGGGTGTCAAGAAAAAATATTCCCTTTACTTTGCTCCGGACAGCTGTCATGAAAGTGTCAAATACATACTCCTGGTCTGATGTTAACAGTGCATGGTTTCTCGTTGCCCTTTGTCTTTGTTCTTCTACAGCGTAGGTGATTTCTCTGCGGTAGTCTTGCTCTACTCTCTCTGTGCAGCATCTCTTCGTGCAATCGGAAGTCCATATGAATCGAGACTTTGCCCATGCATTTGTTAAACACAGTCGTAAGCAACTAAAGCAACGTTGTCTGCTTCTTCTTGATTTGTTGAGTTTCCATTGCCATACAGAATGTCTTCCGTCAAGCTTTGTGTATGTTGAAGCCATAATTATAAGTGAGTTATATTTGTACTTGTACAATACAATGCACTGAGCTGAATGTGAATAAGTAGAATGCACTAAATCAAGCGTACTGCATTGTATTGTTGTTTTCAAAACCTTTTCTTTTTTTCAGGTTGACATGCCAGCAAATAACAAATGTACCATATTCAGGAAGGAATGAGCAGTGACCAGCATGTTATTGCTATCCACAGACTATACATATTCTTTTTTTTTTTTATCATCAGTTTGACCTATGATTTATGAACGAGGATATCATGAATTTTCATAGAGGAAATGTTCTTCTTTCATTCATAGAAGTCTCAATATTTGCTCCAACCCCCCCCCCCATTTCAATTTATTACTTCTTTTTTAATTTTCTTTTTGTTATATTAAATTGTTTTATTAATAAAGTCCTGAGTCCTTTTTCTTCTGCATCGAATTTTGAATTTGGTTGTAGCGTGTACCTTGCTTGTCACAGGTGACATTGCTATGACTAGGGGCAAAGTTTTTTTATATATATTGTCTTAATGAAACCTTGATTTCATTTCCAACACCAAGTGATTTTGTATTGTTCTTTGATTGAAAAAGAAATACATGTGAAAATGGTGAAATAGTATAGGTTTAATGCCCCTATCAACACTATTAGGTCTTTTAAGAGGCGTTACCTCCTAGTTTTAACATCCGACTCCGAAAGGACCGAGCCAAACAGGAAATTCATGTCAGGTGCCTTTCCCAAGGACACAACGCCGGACCAAGCTTACACCCGAACCTCTGAATCGCAATCTCATGATTAGGGCTCCGGCAGCCTCACCATTAGGCAACTGATGATGTCCCCTTGGGACTATTATATTACTATCAATTATCATAATATTTTGTTGTTAAACTTTAAAATTTACTCTACACATTTTTTTAAAAAGTTGTCTTGTATCATCACAGACACTGTTGCCACTCTCATACTGCTTTTCACATTCCCTGGCTCTCATTTTGTCATCGTTTAATAATAAAACATGTGGCAAAAAGTAAACATTTTTCTATTGCTTGTTATAATAATTAATTTGTATGAAGGTACCTGTCAATTTCTTCTGAATGTGGATGAGCAACAGATGGCAAAAACTCTCAACAATCAACACTACTGTTGTTGCTTTTCTACATTGTTTTTGTGTTGTCTTACGATTATGCCGCCTGTCAGTTACCTAGAGATTAAAAATTGACATTGATTGTTTAAACCTTTCTTCTTTTTTTTCTTTACACAGAAATGGTCACACCATTGCTTTGAAAATGTTGGTATCCGCTAGAAATGGTTGTGGAAAAGCCATCATAAGTAAAAAGTCGAAAATTAACTAGGTGTATATTTCATGGGGTGAAAATTTTTGGGTTGTGGAAGAAGTTCATAGTTACGTTGCCCTGTTATAATGAGGAAACAAAGTAGGTAACGGATGACTGATTGATTTTCAAGGGATAGCAGTCATTACTGTAAACTTTGCTTTCAATGACACCGAATTAAAAGAAATCAAAGCCCAATGGTAGAAATAGAAGGAAATCCTTTTTTATTTTCTTCATTGTTGTTAGCAAATACCTTGTATTTGTATCAAACGCATCTAAAAACGAGCAGCTTCAAGGTCAAAGTGAAAGTGCTACTTCTGTGTAAACATCCCCCTATGGACTGGCCAACGTGTGTTTTCCTCTCCAGCACAACCTATCCCCTACAATGAGTACCCACAATGCTCATCATATGAAAACACTAGATGGCGAAAGAGAGCAGCAGGGCACACCGTGTTGATGGTTAAAGGGAGGGTGGGGGTGTCAGTAACTTCATGACTGTGTGTTTATGTGTGTGCACTCTGGCAGTTCTTCGACGCAGGCTCCTACACACGCCTACAGACTTACAAAGCCTGCTCTACTACGGCGTTGACCAGATGACAAGGACATGTGGTTACTTGAGGGAGGCATTGCGCTGCTAAGAACGAAATGCTCGCAGCTAAAGGGATTTGAAAACAACAACAACATGTGTGCGCACACAACTTCTGTAAACACACTTTACAATATCAAAACAGTTTTAAATTAAGACACTAGACTTTTACACTTCTCATTCTATTTGGTAGGAGTGAGGGTGGTATTGTTTCTACTTTGTAATTGGTTCTACCAGTAGTTATCTTTCTGAAAAAAATACGTTTTCCTGGCTCCACTATAGGTGACATCATTAGCCAGATATCCATGGAGACTCATCCTTTACAGTACTGACATGATTTCTAATTTGAACTCCCAGCACAACTGTTTCATGGTGTCAGAACTAGAACAATCATCATAGTCAAAATAAAATATAAAATTATTTAGAGATGGCTTGCTCTCACAACACCTTTAACTTTATCCGTTTTGAGCTCTGGACCCTGCACCTGGGTTCCCGAGGGAACATTTCCAGACTTGTTGTATCACCTCACGCCTGACGTACATGTATACACTCCGGCCTGTAGGGTTAAAAGTACATCAATTTATCCATGGCAATGATGTGATTTTCTAGAGAGAATCATCACATCGTGTGTTTATCGGGGTCGCAATCAATCCTCTTAAGTGTTGGTGGGTACTTAAAACACCAGAGACAAAAAAAACCTTTTTGTTGTGTTGCTCCTATGAGGAATCGTGAAAAGCAAAAAAATTGTAGACCTTGATCATAGCATTAATCAAGTTCCTGTATTTTGGTGATGTTGAAAGGTACATCTTTGATACAGTTTTGGGAGCGTGTAAAATTGAAAATTCTCAAAGTTTGGACTTAAGCGGATGGCTTGCAACAGCGATGGCATTTACCTGTCTGTGGTTTGGCTCTAAGCCACGCAAGGGAAAGTTGGTGACTGATAATCTGTCTTTCTGCTGGAATGCTTAGCCATGCTGAAGCTAGGTTCCCTGTAAAGACTTCTCTGTTGACACCCACCCCTTGACGCTCATATGACCTGATGCAGTTGCGAGCGCCGTAAAACCCTCAACTATAAAAAAATAAAAATAAAAAAGATGGCAATGTTGAAGCTACCCACCTGCTAAAGAGATTTAATTGTGTTGAAGGGGGCCTTACATTTTTTAAAAGGTAGGACTTTTTATTTCTACTGTCTCTATCAGTTGATACCTTGGATTCATGTCTAGTTTAGTGACTTGCATCTCAATTCTCATTTGAGCTATTGTTTGTCATATCCGCTTATATCGACATGCTTTGGGAAGTGGATTTGATGTCGATATATATAAAGATGTCAATAAATGAAAATATAATGCCAAAGAGGGAAAAACAAGGGGAGGTCAGCGGTAAAAGACAACTACTTTTTAAAGCTGGTTGCTTCCCTTGATTATTGAAACTAGTGAGAGACAGAGGGAAGGGGGTTGGAGTTATGGAACCAAAGACCGAGCAGCACGAGGCGCACACTACACACCAGCGCAAACTTTGTTGCAGCATCCTTGTAAGGCCTGTTTATGGCCGCTAGCTGGGGAAAATGGAAAGGCGAGGCACTGACTCGCTGACAGTGGCACTTGCCAGCGACAGACTGAGAATGAGATGGGGAAAGAGAGTGAGCTGGGAGAGGGGATAGGGAGGTGAGTCCCAGCGCGCAAGATGCTCACGTCTGTGAGGCACTGTACTGTGTTGGAGACTACACTGTGTAGACCCTACATGACCTACTAAAGCCTGGTGTGTCGATATAGGCTACTTGGCGGGTAGGCGGATTTAATGAAGAACTAAAGCGTTGACCGTAAGAGTGGTTTTTTCCCCCATTTATGTTTGTGGGCTTTGCCAGGTACCCAGGAAGCATTTCGATACAACAGAGTGGGCCGAAAAAAGTCGATGATAAATCGGACATCGATATAAGAGGATTATACTGTACGCACATCTCAATCAGTCAGCAGGAAAACTTCACAGGGATAAGTTTTGAGGAAGGAAGCTCAGCTCTAAAGCGAAAGGAAGCCTACCTTGTCTAATTCTAGGTTGTTGTAGGCTTGGTAGTACATGTATTAATATTGTTTCATTTTGACAGCCCCGATCGAAGGATAGGTGGGGTCTTTTACTATTTACTCTTTGTGGATTAGGAGAAATGCACAGGAAATTGAAAGGTGCATAGCAGTAGAAAGAAAAAGGAAGGAATCCAGTCCTGATCGAGCAAAACCAAAAACAAATGGCACTTGGATAGTAATACCTACATACATACATACAGAAGTACCAGGAACAGACGACCAAAGACCACTCTGGAAGGAACAATTTAATGTAGTCCTCCATCTTCCACTGTAAGTTCAAGGAACATTAAGGAAAAATGCAGAACAAACTGGGTTTGGTAAGAATAAGATACAGATTACAGACAAGGTTCACTCAACAAAACCCAATAATTTAAGAAATGTCCTTTTTTTAAATATTCCAATCCATTTATTATCCATACACATTGGTTAAGATGAAAGAACATTGCATGACAACACATACCACGTACTACACAAAGCATAAAATATGTAGCAATATTCACATTGCGTCATTTTATAACTGAATTAAGAAAAAGGAATGATCGTGGGGACCCAAAAAATTTCTGTTACTCAAAACAGAATTTTCTATCTAAAATGCAGGTTGGTTTAGAAAAGAACTTGAGTGGCCAGGTGCATGGGATTTATAAGCGTAATAATTTTTTCAGTCAAAATGGCAATTCATATCGCACAATTTCCAGATATGATCTCATTCACTTGATATTGATAGAAAAGAGAACTGTACTCCCGCAGGTGAGGAATTACAACAAATCCGTAAATTTCAGTAAAGCATAATGTACGATACATACTAAATACATAAACAAACCTGCTTCTCAATATTTCTTGCATTTAACTGAAGAAATAATTTTAAAAAATGAGGACAGCTTTAGAAAGCATACATGACATAAAATATTACACGAGTAACTACTGTGTCTAATAAAAGGTAAATATGTATCACGTTTGCTTACAAGCTCATTTATCCCAGTTTAATGCACCTTAAAACCTAAACATTTTTCTTCGCAATACTTTTAAAAAATATGTGTGTGCCTAAAGAAAGGTATCAAAAGTTGGATTTTGACCATTTTGAGTTAAGGGTTGTACCTTGTAGGAAATTCAATGCTGAACACAGAGGTTTTTTTTAATTTTTGAGATATCACAAGTAGTTTTTAAGACATCGCACATTTTGTGAGGTAGGGTATAAAGATCTAATTTTGAGAAAATTGGCTTTGAAGTTTAAGACACATACAAACGTGAAAAAAAAACCCCCGATTCAATTGTCTAATGTATTTATTCATGGAAAATTCATTTCCAATTTGGCATTCAGATGACATCAATATCATGATTAGAATTCTATGGTAAAATATAGCGGGGAAGAGAAAACATGCTTCAAGAAAAGATTTTAACACCTTCTAAAAGCAGTTTTCATTATCTCTTTAAAAAATACCCTAGTCTCAAAATTATTCAAAATAAAGTATTTAGAGGTCCAATCAATCAAAACCCTTTTTAACACGTTAAAAAACGGTGGAACTATCATTTTTTTAAGGAAACAAATTTTGGTCAAAACAGTGATTTTTTGCCATCATCAGCTTGTAGTTCAAAATGGTCTGAGGCGACTTGGTACCTTTCTTTAGGCACACACACAAAAGATTAAGAGTGGTGCCTTTGTTCCTAGATACTCATCCCTGCCACTAAGACAAAAAGATCTGAAAGATATAAGACACCAAAATCATAGATAGTGTTTTGCAGTTGCAGAGCCAAATTTTTCAGTGTCTAATTTAACAACTTTTCATAACACACACAAAAAAAAAAAAAATGAAAACTGGAAAAGGGCTGCAGTCCCAAGTGTTATGAACTTTCAATGACTGTATGAGAATCCACTTATATCAGGCAAAGATTTGAAGTCATAAATACCTCTGGAGAAATTTGTAAGAATTAAAGTACATCACAAATGGTAAAACTGGAGGAGCCCACAGCTCTCAGTCATCAAATGAAATGAGTTGAGCCTCTTTTTGCTCCGCCTGATGGAGCTGAGATGGCTGACCCGGGGCGGCTCCGCTCTGCTGGTACTGACCAACAAACTGCTGCGGCTGCTGCTGGAACTGCTGTGGCTGTCCAGGCGGGGGTGCTGTGTTTGCGTACTGCTGAGGTGGCTGTTGCATGGGCTGATTATTGTACATGGGCTGGGGGCCTTGGTGGGGTGGCAAGGCGGTTGACAGACCTGCAACAAGGAAATCACAAGATCAGTGAAGAGAGATTAGTGTTTTATACCAATAGCAACACAGCATGTTGGCACCTCAGGGTAAACCTAAAACATCACAAAACTTGGGCAATTTTTTCATATCCTAACTGTCAGCTTAAGTAAGCATCTTGAGCATACCTGGCCTTTGCTTTATCAAAGAGAAACCTGTAGTTTTTCATAATTAATACACCAAGTCTGTATTTTCTCAACCTTTGAGGTCAAGGGACAAACAAATATTGAAGAGAATTACAGGTAGACTTTGATACATCAGCAATGAACTTTTAACATATTATTGATTTAAAAAATGAATTTGCGATGCCTTTTTTTTACTTCTCTGCGAACTTTTTGCCTCAAATACAGGGTACTGTGTCTCATGAAGAGTGTTATTGTATTTTGTAACCAGGATAAAACATACATGAATATAGTGAAGTCTATCACGTAGCAAGACAAACTTTACACCAAAGTTTCACTGTCTACTAAATTATACAAACAAACCTTGCATGTTGAAAGACTGAAAATCAGATGATTGAGCCGGCATGGAACCAAAGCCTCCTTGACTGTCTATGCCGCCCATCGGTGGGTGGCCTCCTGGCATGCCTGCTGTGGACATCTGGCTTGGCAAGGTCCCGTACACACCTGGAGGGCATCAAAAATCTTAATTGCCATACATACTTCCTAACTGGCTTACAAATGGACATTGTATGCTTATGAGCTTGTTACATTTGAAGAGTTATATGATGAAATAATCCTAAAAATGTAACTCACAGGCAAGTAGCCATTTTTCTTGTACAAGATGTTTCAATGGTACTGTACTTTTTAAAAATCTGAAAGACATTTCTTACTGACCAAGAATTTGGCAACTTTGAAAAAGTCCCAAGAAAATCACAAATGATAATTGTGCTGTTGAAGCTAGAGAGGTGAGCAGTGTAAGTCTGATTCCCTGTAAAGACTTCTCTGTTGACACCCTCCCCTTGGCGCTCATATGACCTTATGCAGTTGCGAGCGCCGTAAAACCCTCTACTATTTAAAAAAAAACAAGAAAGTTCATTCAAAGCCTGTGCGCTGCGAAGTATACGGCTCCGGAATGGGGGGAATATTGATTTTTTTTTAAAAAGGTACAATTGGGGGAGGGCTGGAGTTGAAGGCAACACCGGATGACAAAACCTGAACTTGGAATTCTGAATTGCCCGGTTACCGTGTACGTGACACAGAGACTACGTGCCCGGTTACCGTGTACGTAGACAACCCGTTATATTAAACGCCTTAAGCTGCGTTCACACGGGAGTGAGTGCTATAGAAATTATCTAGATCTACATTATTACATGTATTACTATTGTTATAAATGAAACAAAAATTTGCTGTATTTTACGATTTCACTTAGTGTTCAAAGAATACCATACCGGTTTTCAAACAAAAAATTCTGAAATAGATCTAAATACAGATTACTGGTGTATCGAAGGTTTCAAGAGAAAAATAGAACAGGATCTCATTTGATTGGAGCATAAGCTTATTTTGTATTTAGAGGTTGTTTAAAGAATCCCTCGTCAATTTTTCTGTTTTTTATAGACTAAACCTCATACACTTGTAGATCTTTGCATGAACCAAGTACCCGGTATGTACTAAATTTGGTCATATTTTGTGTCTTCATTTAAAAGTTATTACGAAAACTGAGGGTTCCGTTATTTTGTGTCACGCGTTATCATATTGTATTTGGCAGATAACTTTATTGTCAACGTACTCGTGTGTTGTTATTAGTAAATGTAGTTAATAACATTTGATGAATTTGTATTGTGGGTCATGATTTTTTAAAAGGCTGTACTGCTTTTATGCTACCGGTACTCAAATTGTCATGTTTTTTAAAACTAAAAATGTTAAGCCCGTTAGTATTAATGCCCCTGGGATGAGAAAGTTGTAATTTTTTTTTGCAATTTCTAGGCAGTTTACCTTCCAATTTTTCTATTTCAAAAATGCAATTTTCCGCGGGGCCAGGTAGATGCATACCAAATTGAAGGAAAATGAATAGGCAATAAGACGAAGCAAATTTCATGAGAAAAGAAAATCACAGGTCTCTTTGGTCCTGGCACAAGTTCACTGCTAGAATTGACACTTTCTGATTTTTTATTTAGCCCTAGCTAGTTTCATCTCTACACTATCCCCACTCAAGCTAGAATCCTCACTATTATCTGAGAATCAGTTGCTATCCAATTCTTCAAGTTGAATTTCTTCTAGCAACTGAAATACCTCATCCAGAGTCAGTTTGCAACTACCAGCCATAGTGGAGGACGCTAAAAACCATGTAATGTGATGTAATAAAATTAGCGTTTTTGTTTTTCCATCATGCGTGCAGGGCTATTTAAATTTGAGACAATTGAGAGGAAAAACTTGACAGGGCTACTCCAGATCTGCTGTTTGACAAATCTGTGCAGGTATTCGAGAACAAGGGCTGCCAAAAAAACAAAAACATGGTAGTTCAGTCGGGAAGGAATGGCATATTGTTTGAGCTGTCCATTCATTCAAGTCTGGCGTGTTTGAGTTATCTGTGCCAGACTGTGCTTTCATTAGGAAAGACCTCCATTTCCTTCACTCCTCAGCAATGAGAGTGGCCATTGTGTTTGCCTTAAGTGCTGCAAAGTAAGAAAACTGGAGTGTATTTTGTCTAAAACAGGAGCTGGAAAGAAAGAAAATGTCAGTTGTTACCCATGTTATTTGGTGGTGCTGTTGTCATTGGCCCTGTCATTGCATGCTGTGGGGGTAAACTGACAGCACCTTGGTCCTGAAATGAAAACATACATGAAATCTTTTATTAACTGAAAAACATGTTTGTGCAAGAATGCCAACAATCACACTGCGCACATAATTTTCCAGTTGCTCTTTTTTTCTGTAAATCTTGGAAGTTTAAACTTACTTAACCCTATTCGTACGCCCTGGTGTCATTTTGTACCCCGCGGCTTGTATTCTTCACATTTTAGAATACTTCTAGTATGAATATCTCTTTGAAACTTTCAGCATTTCTCAAAAAATCATTTTGACAGACTGCTATGCAAAGCATATGGATCGGGTGAATGAATAAATTTCCTCTTTGGAAAGTGGTGGTACAGAGTTCCCCACGTTGTATGGATATGATAGTAAAACACGACGTACAGATAGGGTTAAAAGATGGGTTAAAGCCTATCCTCTCGAGGTTTTTTCCCCTCCTTTTCTTTCTCAAACTGAGTTTTTGTTTGTGTAACTTTATTCTTTGGAAACAGAGGAGGCTCTCTAATGGCCTGCTTAAAATATCAGAAACTGTAACAATTGACCAATGTAATAATAAGATGTCTCCATGACATAATCTAACATACCCACAACGAAAGAAGTACATCAAAGCAGTCATAGCCCTCTTGAGCAGTACAAATAGAGAGTGTCTTCCATGATTTGAGTGCATACCATAACAAAACCCCTTAATCAATTTCTTCCAAAGCACTCACTCATAAAGCTACGGTCAGTTTTGATTTGACACACAACTAGTGTGTTTCTACTTGGTAAAATTACCACAGGAACTGTGTAAATGTTCTAAGGCCTCTTGCATCTTGACAGATGATCTTACAGCAGTGTGCTCGATACAGCTTTATCTGGGCGGCTGACTTAGAGGAAATAGATTTCCAAGTACTACTTCCCTCCCTTCAGACTTTGACTTTCTCGATATGCTCCAAAGGAGAGACATCGATAATGTTTGGAATCAAGAAAGATGTAAATGCATATCTTACTTCTTTACAGGTGCCATGGATATTCTTTATGGTAAGGAGAGGTGCAAGGAAAAGAAAACAAGCGTGTCATTGAATTTTCAAAGGTTAAGTATTTTAACTGCTACAGTACGTGCCGGCTTTAAGCACGCCGGCATAAAGCACGTTTCGGACTCAGAGAACGCTGAACGGCTCTTACTGAATTTTTGCTAAATAAATTACACGCCTTTAAGAACGGTAACTTCGGCTTCAGGCACGCTTCATTTACAAGACTTTCAATACTTGAATGATGACCCATCGAAGTTTGAACAGTCTACACCGCAGCAGTAAGTGGGTTAAGAGAAACACAAAGAACGCAAGTGATGGAGACACACACTCACACGGGCGGAGAGGAAGGCAGAGAGATGCACACAGCCGTACGCGCGGACATAAGATCTAGCCTAGGGCAAAGCTACACACAGACGAAAAAATTACAAAGAGAGTCGGGGAGACGAGAAAGGGAGGCTGGCTGCGATTTCACCTTTGACCCTCACTATCCTTTAATCCTGATTGTGTATCAAGCACGAGGTGGGATGAAGGCGGTGGTATGAATGTGGTACAGCGGGCAGTGGTACGCACAGGCAGTGAGTAGGCCTAGTGTGCTGTTCTGTGACTGGCTGTCTAAATTAAGTTTTCATTTCCCATTCGACCACAAAACAAAAACAAACAAGCCAACAAAAACTACCATGGCGGGTAAAAATAACAGTCCACACTTTTGTGGGACCGCTATAGGCCTACTTACAAGCAAATGGAAATAGCACGGGAAATTTTCCACATGAAAATCTCTGGATTATGTCTACTTCGCTTTGGCCTTAAGCACGCTTAAGCTTTCTCCCGATGACCATGCTTAAAGCCGGCATGGACTGTATCTAAAAGCATTTTCATCAGTGAAAAGATAAAAAATAAATAAAAAACAATCCTTAGTGTCTATGATGTTGATATCGACAGGCATCAGGGATGTGCCACTTCATTGGTTCAAATGATGTGCAATTCCTACCCTGCCTTCCAAAAGCTAGCGGTTTACCACTTATAATTATAGTCGAACCTGCTTTAACGGAAACCTGTGTAAAACGAAAACCTGTCTTAACAGAATCTCCCCGTTCCCCCCTTGATATATTCCTCTTTAATTACCTGTATAAAACGGAAACCTGTCCAGCGTGGAAGCGTAAAGAAAAATCTGCTCCCTTCCTAAACAAGTTTGGTTCTGCCGGCTCTAAACTAACATCATGCCGCCGGGTGAGGAGGGGGAGATGGGGTGCAATTTGGGGGTAGATGTTACCCAGGTCCTTGATGTTACCCCATCTATGTGAGCCCTGAGCAATGCAGATGGTCAGGGTAGTGTGGGTGTGAAATCTCACGAGTGTCGGTGAAAGTGCTCGAGCAGCGAGCCATTATGGGAACTTTCCTGGGTAGCCAGAAAGAAGCCAGAGGTGGGAAATTAGTTTGGCCAATGCCTGCCGCCCTGATCGTACGGCCAGCTGAGAAAAGAGTTCCTCGAATGGTTGCTACATGGCAATGAGGGGTGGCATTGGCTGACTCCGCTTGTTACACCGGTGGGTGGGGCTAAGAGTGGTAGCAAAGGAGATATGCAAACGTTTCTGTTTTTAATAAGCCAAACAGTGCACCTATGAAATGCAAGCACTAGTGGCAATTGGATAAAAGTAAGACTGACGTATGTCATTATCAGATGGGATAACAGTTGAGAGGTGTGAAGTTTTGACCACTGCCTGCCGACCGGACAAGCGATCCCGGCTGGGCCTTTGAAACCCCCCTCTATCTCCCCCCTAAATCCCCTGCCTAAACCGGATTTTTTTGTTGTTGCTCCCTTGCGATTCCGTCTTACACAGGTTCGACTGTATACAGAAACTTGAGACTTTTCTCACCTGTGCACTGTACCCTTGAGGAGCAACCATGCCCTGAGCATCTGGCTGGTAGCCTCCAGCAGGGAGACTTGCTGGTGGGGCGTACTGGTTTCCCATAGGTGGCTGAGCCCCCATGTTGTACATGCCAGACTGTGGAGGCATCACCATACCAGCACCCTGGTTCATCACCTATGGAAAAAGCATTGTAGTGGGTGAGTACAAAGCCTTCACTGGTGCTGTCTAGTTCAAAGAAAGACTGAATTTGAGAGCTAGAAATACACAAACATCTCAAAACTGGAACAGCCTGAGAGTAACGAATTATTATATTCCATTACACAACGACTAAATTTTCACAATAATTGCAGCAACTACAAAGAAACAAGTCTTAGTTTTAGTAGCATTTTACAGCACTTGCAACACAATAAGGTCATAAAAGTGCTGAAGATTAGAGGTGTTTCAAGAGAGTAACAAACACAAAAAAGGGGGAGAAAAAGGATGATAAAGGTTTTAATAGTAAAGAAGGAGCAAACCACCAGAGCAACCACCCACAAAGAAACAAGTCATCTTGTGACAATAATAATCAATATGGTAGTACTCTGGCTTGGTAATTAGACAAACGCATTCATACAGTACACATATCGATTCATCAAAACCTAGCTCAACACAAACAAAATGAGCAAAACAAGATTTATATTTTGACAGTTTACACTTTAGTGACCAGCAATCCTAAGGTTGGCAGATTGGTTACTGGTTACTTTCAGGACAACCAACTATGCTTTCTGATAAAAAGTGTATCTATAACTAAGATTTAAAAAACAATAGATCCAACCACATGTGATAAGTAAATAAACAAAGGATGTGTTTGCTTCTGTTTAGCCAGAGTTTGAAGACAGTAAATAATCCATAGAAAATCGGACTGGTTTCAGGAAATAACCATTCAATGTGGGTATTTTCATAGTCGATCAGGAACGACACGAGGAGACAAGTGTTTTTCTTGGTGGTTTCTTAGGTGTAAATAAGTAAGTATGCTTCCCGGGAAGCTGAGAATGTTTCGGAGTATTCTATGGTCTGCTGGGGTAATAATATAGTGTAAAGCACATAGAGCCTGCTGTTGAGCGGGAATATGCACTATACAAATGCTATCTATTATTAAGTACAAGAAAAACATTACAGAATTCCACAGATCAAAGTCTGATATCGGGAATCAAAGTACTGTATAACAATACTACATCCAGTAGTACTGATCAACTGACCTGCATGCCTCCATACCCATCGGGTCCTGGGGTCATTCTGTGAACAGGTGAGCCCTCCGCTGAGCCCCCTCCACCAGGGACATAGCTGTGGGCTGGCATACCAGGGGGAGGGCCCATGCCCTGGGGCGGGACACCGGGCTGTCCCATCATTTGTTGAGGATAACCCTGACAAAAGAGAAAATCATACAAAATTTCCGTTTAACACTTTGCCGTCACTTAACGCGGGTGATAATGATCCGTTCCGGTCACCTAGCGCCGAGAAGTCCGTGGCAGTCACTGCTGGCTGTGTCACTGCAAAGTGTTAAAAGACATTCAAAATTGTGCAATCAGTAAATGAGGTCAAATAGAAATTTTAAACACTCAGGGAGGATAATATTTTTCTTTAAAAGGCAATCATTTAACAAAAAGCCCTTTACAGCGAAACAGTATTGTTGAAAACAAAATCATAAAAAGTATGTTTCCCCTAACTGTAACTAAAAACACGGTGCTATCTGCACTGTGTTGGACTGTAAAACCAGTGTGGTAGTTTCAACTGACGAGTCGTGGAGTAACAGAAACAACAATAAACCTGTGGAAGTACATCCTTTGACTGATTTGACACCACCTGTGTCCTTGCCATTTTCTATTTGCCTCGAGTAGTGCTTGCCAACCTGGGTGCTGCCACCTGATAATGACCTGCTCATTTTGGTGGGTGCTGGGGATCACCCGGGTAGTGGTGACAAGTGGTATTTTATGCCCAGCTTAGAAACACAAGTAGGCGGGCAGTACACAAATTTTAGTCTCTTTAAAGGTGGAAAAAGTGGGAGCTGGCTATAAAAAGGTTGACAAGCGCTGGCCTAAAGAAAAATCAGCACACAAAACTAACACAACAGAAAATACTCAGGAAACTCCAGACGAATGTGAAACGCATGGATATGCACCAACTGACCTGAGCGTATCCAAAAGCCTGCATCTGCCTGATGTGTGTGAGATGTTTCTGCTGCTCCATACGAGCGTGCATCTCTCTCTCCTGCTCCTGCAGACGCTGTAGAGCCAGTTGACGTTGCATCTCCAGGTACTCCTGACATTGGTTTGATACAGTTCAGTGGTTACATGAGGCTTGTGTATGCATAATACATTCTTATCGTCGTTATTCCCTGTCATACCTCTTTCCAATGAATGCAAACACAATATAGGTTTATTGAGAGTATCTGGGAGCAGAAATGAGTGGTGAACCATGATTGCTGATGTCTGTTTAAGATATGGCATTTGAAATACAAGCACTGATATGCATATTATAGCATAATTAAGGCTCAAATTGTGTTGCAAAAAAGTTTGGGGTTAGTGGAGACACCACTGGCATTCACAAGGGCTCTGTGGGGGATAAAGGTAGGTAAACACAGCTCTGGAACATATATAGTAAAAGTATGGCACACATTACACAAACAGTGGATTTTCAAAACAAATTATGAGGGCTTCATGAAGCACAGCGTCCTCAGAAATTTTCTGCTGAAAAAGTTGTTATGCACAAATGCTTAGCTCCAAACTACAGAACAATACGCTTACATCATTTCTGGACCAGTTATACTTTCAAAACAGGTAATAAAATCTTTTTAAAAATCATAAACGTTCCTCATTGTCTTTGTGAAACATTAACTGAAATCTTCATTCTGAGTGGGGACAATCTGACAACCCAACCTGGATACAAGATGATGGTAGGATGCCAGCTTCTGACAAATGCCGAAGTTGCAAAATAGCACTTGTCAAGAGTCTTGCATTGAGCCATCAAAGATAAGAGAAAAACAAAGAAAGTAAATGAAGGAACAGTCCTCACATGTTTCTTCTGTCTCATGACCTCCAGCTTCTGCATCATCTGAATCTGTCTCTGTCTCTCTAGCTCCTCTGCCTCTCTCCTTCTCTTCTCCCTGTGCTCCTCTCTCAGAGAATCCAAAGCTTCTCTCGCATCCCTCAGTTGAGTAAGTTTGTCCTGCAAGCCTTCATAATAGCCTGCACAACACAAAAAGCACTCACTAAAATCTCATGATATGGTTTTAAAAAAAAGCATTTCCAACCCAAGCTATTTTCTCTACCAGTAACTGATGTGTGTCTCCTTGACATAGAACTAAAGGACTAATTTCAATATGGATACCAGTCTTCATAAAAAGGGGAGCATTGGTGAGAAAATGTTCCATGTACACCACAGCAGTGTCCCAAGACTGGGCTTGTCACACAACATGATGTATCTAACAAAATGGATACTGTATTTCCTTTTCATTTTACAGCTCGAAGGAAAAAAGAGCATAAAGCAGTCTAAGCATCTCTTTTATTTCTTAATAAAACAAGAAAATTACACTTGATTACTTGCATACTTTGCACAGCAGAGCACTACATACATTATAACTTCAAAGACAAATGGTGAGAAGTGAAAAGGAAAGAGGAGTGATAAATCCACTCACTCCTGGTGTCCTCGCGCTCCTGTATGTGTGTCATGAGCTGTGGGTGCATCTCACTGATGACAGCAAACAGTGACTGCACCGCTGAGTCGTTGGCAATAGGCCGGCCACGCTGAGAGTTGCTGCGCATGCGGTTCACAAAAATCTCCAGCGATCCTTGCAGGGCAGACAGAAACTGTTCCTGCTCATTGTCCGTGTCTCCGTTTTGATAAAGATGCGAAGAGACCACCTGAGGTGCCTGAAAGCCAGGACAAAAGGAAGAATCATCTTCACGTTTTTGTTTTAACATGTGTGAGTAAAGAGAACTGTCGAGCAAGGAAAAAGTAAGATGGAGAGACTGAAACAAGAAAGGAGGAAAAAGAGAAGGAGGACCTACCAGTGGTGCCTTCCAACCACCGGCAGCTATATATTCATTCTACAGAAAACAGTGAAGTTGACAAGAAACAAATCATGCCCTAAACAGGTGAATGACGGAGTCAGCAAGAACAGAGCCTGGCAGAATATGTATAAATAATACTGGAATGAATCAACAGAACCCTGAAGGATTTTTAGGGGAACAACTCCTGAGCCATGAGTTTCTGAAGGATTATTCAGGGTGTCCAGCAATATTTGCTGAAAAAATTTACTACCTGGAAAAAAAAATTACTACCCAGCAAATCAAGTCCCACACCAGTCCAAAAAAGGGAGTTCATTTGCACCATCATTAACATATATTATCATTAGGCCTACATAATATATCATATGGAACGAAAATAACACCAACAAAGTCATCCATTTTCCAGGGGCGTGTTACATAACAACACACACACACACACACACAAAATATACCCAGTCAACAACATATGTCAATGTTGAACTGGGGTCCTGTTTGACTAGCCTAAGTATTTCAGTGAGTTATAAATTTTCCTCTCATTATTATATTATATTAAAAAAAGAATCCTGCTTTGAGCGTTCGGAAGGGCCTTGAACAAGAATTTCGACTGTGAAGAACCAATGTGGGTGTCATGACTCATAATATTAT